TTCCAAGTTAGGCTGATGCAGTTGGGGTGGGTGGTGAGGGCACCTGGGAAGATTTGGGGGAGATAAGACAGGGGGGATCACACAGAGGGTGATAACACAGGGAGGGGATAAAACAGGGGTGATAACACAATGGGGGTAAAACAGGGGGATCACACAGGGGGTGATAGCACAGGAGTGCTCACATTGGGGGGATAATACAGAGGGTGATAAAACAGTGGGGATCAGCCAGGGGGATCAAGAAGGAGTGATAACATGGGTGATGAAACAGTGGGGATCACACAGGGGGTGATAACACAGGGGTGGATCACATACAGGGGATCATGCTGGGAGTGATAACACAGTGGGGATCACACAGGGGGTGATAGCACAAGGGGGATCACACAGGGGGTGATAACACAGTGGGGATAAAACAGGGGGATCACACAGGGGGTGATAACACAGGAGTGCTCACATTGGGGGGATAATACAGAGGGCGATAAAACAGTGGGGATCAGCCAGGGGGATCAAGAAGGAGTGATAACATGGGGTGAGGAAACAGTGGGGATCACACAGGGGTGATAACACAGGGAGGGATCACATACAGGGGATCATGCAGGGAGTGATAACACAATGGGGATAAAACAGGGGGTGATAATACAGGGGGTGATAATACAGGGGGTGATAATACAGGGGGTGATAATACAGGGGGTGATAACACAGGGGGTGATAACACAGGGGGTGATAACACAATGGGGATAAAACAGGGGGGATCACACAGGGGGTGATAACACAATGGGGATCACACAGGGGGTGATAACACAGTGGGGATAAAACAGGGGGATCACACAGGGGGTGATAATACAGGAGTGCTCACATTGGGGGGATAATACAGAGGGTGATAAAACAGTGGGGATCAGCCGGGGGATCAAGAAGGAGTGATAACATGGGGTGGTGAAACAGTGGGGATCACGCAGGGAGTGATAACACAGGGAGGAATCACATACGGGGGATCATACTGGGAGTGATAACACAGAAAGGATCACACAAGGAGTGATAACACAGGAGGGATCACACAGGAGGTGATCACAGAAGGGATCACACAGGGACTAATAACACAGGAAGGATCACACAAAGGGGATCACACAAGGACTGATAACACAGGAGAGATCACACAGTGGTTGATAACACAGGGGGATCACACAAGGAGTGATAACACAGAGGGGATCACACATGGGTGATGATAACACAGGAGGGATCACACAGTGGGGATCACACAGGGAGTGATAACACAGGGGGGATCACACAGGGAGTGATAACACAGAAAGGATCACACAAAGGGGATCACACAAGGAGTGATAACACAGAAGGGATCACACAAAGGGGATCACACAAGGAGTGATAACACAGAAGGGATCACACAAGGACTGATAACACAGAAAGGATCACACATGGGTGATGATAACACAGTGGGGATCACACACAGCAGGGATAACAAGGCAGGGAATAACAGAAGGGGATGACCCAGGGAAATGGATTCATTCCTCTGCCCTGCAGCGCCCCTGTGCCAGGGATTGGTCAGGGGGTGGCATCCCTGGAAATTCAGCTCCAGCTTGGACAAAGGACGTAGGGAAGGAGGTCAGAGGGAAGCCACAGGCTGAGCAGTGTGGCTGAAGGTTCCAGATATTTCCAGTACAAGCTGTCCATGGAGTCATTGAATGCTTTGGGTTGGAAGGGACATTAAAATCATTCTGTCCCAGCCCCTGCCATGGGCAGGAACATCTCCCACTATCCCAGATTGCTCCATCCTGGCCTTGGGCCCTTCCAGGGATGCAAACCCTTGCAGAGGTGTTTCTGTGTGCCAGTGACAATCTGGGTAGGACACCTGAGAGCTCTCAGATCTCTTTTCTTGGATCCCTTTTACGCACACAGAGCCAAACCCACTGCACATCCCAGGGCTGTTCAGGTCCCACACTGCAGAGCGAGGTTTTGTTGTCCCCTCATGTCTCTGCCTGCAGAAGGGCAGGAGCTCTGGACAAGATTTCTCCCTCCCCTGGCAAGAAGACACTCAGTGCATGTTCCTCCTGCCTGCCAAGGGTTCAGCACAGTGCACGTGCTGCAGAATGCAGGAGAAGCAGGGACTGGAAAAGGAACCTTGCTGCCTCCAGGACTGGAGGCTGCTGCAGTGCAGGGAGCCTGGCCTTGAGCAGGGAGGACACTTTGCTGTTGAGGGGAACCTCTCCCAGTCTGCAGGATTTATCATGATTGTTGTTAGCTGTGGGATTTCAGGGGAGCTGTGGGTGGAAGGAATGTGTGCTCACATACCGTGACCCCTGGCAGGTTCTGTTCTGCTGAAAAGAAGTTTACCTTGAATTTGTTCCTGCTTTCAGTCAGCCCTGGGGAGGGTGAAGCAATGCCCTGAGTGCTGTGGGACAGGACAGGCCCCCAGGAGGAGGAACAGGGACCTTGTGGTCCCACATGTGACCTGGCCTTGCATCACTGGGGAGAGCTCAATCATCGCTGGAGTGTTGGCCTTAGATTTTTCTTTTCCATACTGCATAAAATCCACTTAGTGAAGGGTAAAGTTGACAACTTGATCAACTAAAAAAAACCCAACAAAACAACAACCCAAAACTTTTAGTAATTTCTTTGCAAGTCTGCTGTTTTTTTGTTTTCACTCAGATTTCACTCTGAGTTTTGGAGCAGCTGAAATTCTCCATGTCATCATCAACTGCAAAACCTTTCTCCATTTTTAGCCCGTCTCTGCTTGGGGAAAACACTCAAACACTTAAACAGTCTCATTCCTCTGAAGATTTAAGCAGATTTTGGGTTTCTTTTCAAGAAATCATGTAATTAACTGACCACTGCCCAAAGATTGATGTTCCTGTTAGTGATGGATAAAGTTACTGAAGGTGGGAGCAGAATTCCGACACAAGTTGCATGAGGTGCTTGCAGAAACAGCTTTGCACAATCAGGCCCAACGTGCTTTTATGCAATGATTGCAAAATATTTTACAGGAATGGGGGGAAGGCCAGGGGGCCCTTTGAAACAGGAGGAAGTTGTGCTGTCAAAGGGCTGAACGTGTTAAATGGGATTGAAATCCCTCCTGGTAAATTCCATGAGCTCTGTCTCCCACCCTGAGTAATTTGTGCTTTCCCCTTCAATTAATGACAACTTAGATAAAAATAGAACCTAAATCTTCTCATCCCTAATCCAGGACCTCATCCATGGCTCCATGAGCAATGGATAATCTTGTTTTCCTCCTGTGGAAAGAAATGGAATTTCTTCTTTCCTCCTAACTTATTACTGGAATATTGGAAGTTTTGAGGTGGAGGTACCTCCTGATTGCTGGAGAAAGGGCACAAAGCTGCATTCCAGAAAATAAATAAATAGAAATACAACCACATGCATATAAAAATACTCCAAGAACCTGAATTAAATCATTCTAGGCTCTAATTTATGGTTGAGGAGTGTCAGATCCATGGTTCTTTATGGAACCTTCTTTGATAAATATAGGAATATTGGAGGGACCAACAATAAAACCACCAAAAACAAATCCACACAAAAAAATTTAAACCCAGAGAAACCAGTCTCCCCTCCTCTCTTCTTTGCCTGATTATTCCCTTAAACCCCTTTGCCTTCTTGATGCTGCCACTCAGCTGGGCATAATCTCCTTGGATGGGCTTTAATGTCCCTCCCAAGCCAATCCATTCCATGGAAATCCTGGGTAAAACCCAGGTGCCAAAGAGAGGAGAAATGTTCTCTCAGAGACATTTGCTCCTGAGGCCTGGGCAGCACAGTTGTTGCATCTGCCTTAGAATTTTTAGATCTTATCAAGGTAGGATTGATAAACAGGATTTGTGTCAGGGCAGGGAGCTCAGCTCCTACGAACAGAGCTGTCTTCCCAGGAGTGGATCCCAAATTGGTGTTGTAGAAAGGTGGTGAGAATCACAATTTGTATTTAATTGCTGTCAACAGGAACTAATGAAATACAAATATCTGTGTTTGCTTTGCCAGGCTGGTACCGAGGATACACGCTCCGCAATAAATCCAAGAAGGTACGACCTCACTTTTGGGTGGCTCCCATTTTAATTTCACACCTTGCCAGACCCCATCTGGTGCTGAAAACTCCTGTATTTCTTGTCTTAACCTCAGGCAGGACTGTCCTCAGTGACAGAAATCAATGACCTTGAGCTGCAAGTTCAGAGCCATGTGTTGGGAATTCCTCCATTGGAAGCATGAGGAATGCAGTTGGAACTTCCAAAATTACCTGTTCCCATCTCCATCCAGGAGATTATTGCTTTATCATGATGCTCTGGGACCTGTGCACGTCCAGCATTAGTTCTGTTTAATGGGAACATCAGAGTTTTGAGTGGAAAATATTCCAGAAATTACACATTCCTGGCTCTCAGCCAAGCTGCTGGAGCTTGGGCTGGAAGCTGCCTGGAAATCCAGGTTCCCCCAGGAATGCTGGCACCTCTCCTGTGGTAACATCCCCCACAGCTTCTGCTTTTAGGAAGAAAGAGGGGAGAAAAGGGAACAGAAAAGGATTCCAGCATTTCCAGAAGGTTTCTCTGTAACAACAAAAATTTGGGAGCTTTTCTAGGGAGCACAGGGTAGCCTGACTCCAGGAATATTTCATGTCAGTGACTAGTAATTTTCAGGAATTTCTAGCATTTTCTGCAGGAAGGTGAGGGTCATTGGTGTAAAACAAGGAATCAGCTTCTCTGAGTTGCCTGTGTGCAACCTGCTGCTCCTCCCTGTCCTTTTTCCTGGCATACTGGGACATTTCTTACTCCTTTCCCCTGTTTTTTGTTAAATATCTTTCTGTCACATCCTATCCCACAGCAGGATTGATTTATTTCATTTCTCTCTTTATTTTTAGGGCATTTTCCCAGAAACTTACATCCATTTGAAAGAGGCCATTGTGAAGGACCGGGGGTAGGTTGGCACTTCTTTGGCAGCAAAACCTAGGGAATTTCATTCCCTTTGAACCCCAGAAGAACCAATTTATACACCTGTGGCTGTCACAAAACCAGGGTGTATCTCCTGAGCTGGACTAGCAATGCATAATTCCATTTTTCAGAGCACTGACAAAGCAGAGCAGTGGGGAGTAGGGGCAGCAGGAGATGATTTGCAGGGTTAAGGAAGCTCTGCTGGACAAGTCAGTAGTGGGGAGGGTCAGTGCAGCTCCATCCAGCTCCCCTGGGGGCTCCTGGAAGCCACAGCAGCCTCCTGCTGGCAGCCAGGGCCCAGCAGGAGCGTGGATTCCTTCCTGTCTTGGAAAACACTGGAGGAAATGACTCCTCCTTGGGTTCCTTGAGCTGTATCTGTGCTCGTAAAGTGAGAGCAAAACAGCGGCTGCAAAGGAAGGAACTTTATAAAACCCTTCTTTTTCAACTCTTATTTTCAAGTAACTGTTACCATTGCATGTGGGGATTCTTCCAAGTTTAATTTCTGTCTGTTTATCCTGGGTTTGGAACAAATCCACAGGGAATAAGAGGAGTGAAAGAAGCTTGAAGCATTTTGCATTAAAAATGGATGATGAATGTGGATGTGTGTGTGTTGAGAACAGCTTAAGGGTCTTGACATCATGTGTGAGTGAACTGTGTGAACATCAACTCCTCTGGAATTTCCATTTTTACATTTATCAAAAAAGGGTGTTTTCCATTAAGTTCAAGCTCTGAGTGTGAAAGCTCTCTCTGATGTCTCCTTTCTCCCCAGGCAGCACGAGACGGTGATTCCCAGCGAGCTGCCCCTCGGCCAGGAGCTGACGGCCACGCTGCGGGAGTGGGCAGTGATCTGGCACAGGCTGTACGTGGTGAGTGCTGGGGCTGTGAGGGGGGCTCAGCCTGGGAATGGTGGCTGTGAGGGGAGCTCAGCCTGTGAGGGGAGCTCACCTGGGCTGGGGCTGTGAGGGGAGATCAGCCTGTGAGGGGAGCTCAGCTTCTGAGGGGAGCTCAGCCTGGGGCTGGGGCTGTTAAGGGAGCTCGGACTGTGAGGGGAGCTCAGCCTGGCAATGGTGGCTGTGAGGGGTGTGGGCAGTGATCTGGCACAGGCTGTACATGGTGAGTGCCAGGGCTGGGGCTGTGAGGGGAGCTCAGCCTGTGAGAGGGGCTCAGCTTGGGAATGGTGGCTCTGAGGGGAGCTCAGCCTGGGAATGGTGGCTGTGAGGGGAGCTCAGCCTGGGAATGNGGCTGTGAGGGGAGCTCAGCCTGGGAATGGTGGCTGTGAGGGGAGCTCAGCCTGGGCTCTGCAGGAAGCTCTGTGCCTCTGCCTGGGGCAGGACTGAGTGATGGAATGGGGCCTGGGGGGCTCAGAGTGTTCAGCTGTGGGATGTGACAGAGGCAGGATGACACTGTGGGTGTCCCTGCCCTGGGGCAGCAGGGCCTGGCACAGGTCACACTGTCACCGTATCAGGGCTGCCTGGAGGGCCCAGCTCACCTGGGAGATCCAGGCCCTGCTCTGCCTGTCCTTGCCAGCCCTGCATGAGGGCAGGGAAGCCCAGCTGGGTACAGGGCTGGAGTGTGACACAGCTGTGGGCAGGCTGGGCTCTGCTGGGCTGGGAGGGCTGTAGGAACCCCATGGACTGGCTGATCCCCACCCAGAGCTCCCCTGGGAAACAGGGACGGGGGAAGGGGCAGAACCAGGCATGTGCCATGGGGGCAGATGTGACTTGTCACAAAGCACATCATGGAATGTTCTGGGCTGGAAGGGATCACTGATCCAGCTCCTGGTCCTGCACAGACACCCCAAAATCCCACCCTGAGCATCCCTAGAGTGCTGTCCAAGCTCTCCAGGAGCTGTGGCAGCCTCGGGGCTGTGCCCATTCCCTGGGGAGCCTGGGCAGTGCCAGCACCTCTGGGGGAAGAGCCTTTCCCAAAATCCAGCCTGACCCTCCCTGGCACATTCCCAGCCATCCCTGGCCCTGGCCCTGCCCCACAGAAGGAATTCCTTGGCTGCCCCAAGGCCTCCCATGGCTGGGGCTCTCAGCAGGGTGGGGAAGGAGCTCTCATGTCCCAAATCCCTGAGCACAGAGTCCCCTCAGCAGCGTCACAAGCTGCCACTGCAGGGATCTGAGGACTGTCCTGCAGCAGGTGCTTCTTGCTCAAAGAAATGAGTCCACAGGGAGTTGCTTTATTTTAAAGACACATTAAAGAGCCAAATTTGATTTTTCTCTGAGCAGTAACGAGTTCAGCCTGCACAAAATGTGCTCCAATACTTTAATTAAGAAGAGGGAGTGAGTTGAAATGAGCTCTAATCACCCAGTGCAAGTTTTCCTACTGGAAATTTCACCAGGCCACAAATAAGTTGTGTTTGTGTGCCACAAAACCACAAGAATTTATTCCACCCTCTCAATTTAATGAGAAGCTCTACGTGATGGTATTACTGTGTGAAAAGAGAGTTTTGTTCCCGGCATTTTTTATTTCTGAATAACTTTCAGGTCCCAGCCTCAGAATCTGTTTTTTTAACAAGCAGAAATCTTTCATGTTCCTGTGCTTAACCACTATAAGTCTTAAAATAGGTTTGGAAAATGTTGTGGTTTAAAATGGATTTGAGTTTATTTTATTTTCCCTGCAGTATGTATTAAAAGAATTTTTTAAAAAGCTAAAGGAGGAAGGAGGCATTTGAGGAGAAAAAGGAAACATGAGGGGATTTTTTATTTTGGCAGCATTTAATTTCACTTCTTTAATTTCTGGGGGTTTCATTGCAGCAGTGGCTTTATCTCCACTGCAAAATAAATACAAAAATGGGGAGAGTTTTTAATTGGTCTGGTTAGTAGGAATTAGCTGTGGAGATAACTCAGGTCAAATTGAGGTCTGCTCTGAAAATTCACACGAATTGCCTTTCTTTGCAAGCTTTTTTATGTAAGAACGTGGGGTGGGGGTTATTTATGAAATATATCTCAAATATCCTTTCTATGGAGCTAAAAACTCAAGCAGCCCCATCAGCACCTTGGTGTTCACTCAAATCAACTGAGGCTGACCCAAATCACAGGCAGGATTGTTTTCATACCTTTACATTTGAGGGAAATATGAGTAATTTATGTCATCCCTGTTCATTGCAGAGATGAGAATGGGGAGATAATTGCAATTAGGTTCTGTTTGTGCTGGGTGGGAGCAGGGGGGGTTTGTGGCTCACCATGAACAGCTCCAGCCCCCAGGGAGCACCAGAAGCACCCCTGGCTGTGGGGGAGATGTGGCCCAAAGCCAGCTCCTGCCCTTTGGGCTCTCAAACCCCAGGGAAGGCTCTTAATGCAAAACCAGGCACTGAGTTAGGCTTGAATTTCTCCTTTGGAGCTGAATAACCTCATCACTGTGCCAGTGACTCAAATCTGTGGCAAAAGAGTCAGAATCCTGTCAGGAACTGCCCCACTGAGGTGACAGAGAGAGAGGGAAGCCTGGGCTCCCTTTTTAATGGGTTAAATGTTTTCCCTGACACTTTAAAAACTTATTTACATATCTAAGCACACACTGCCACAAACAGGGTGGGTTACCACAAATCCATGTTTAATTACAGCCTTGGAGCTTGGAGGTGCAGGAACAAGGTGTGGGGATGGGACTGATTTTGTGAGGGTGGAACCAGTGAAGGGCATGGGAAGTATTTTCATTAATTAGAGATGGGAACAGGAATGCAGGAGGGGACTCTTCACCAGGCAGGTTTTGTTCAGTGTCCTTGCTCAGTTGTGCTCCTTTAATATAATCTCTCTGTCCCTTTTATAAAAAACCTCCATCAGAGCAGTCTGGAAGTGCTGGAAATCACTTGCTATTTTTAGTGGGTGAGGTTTTTCTAAAATAATGTCCCAGGGAAAGGTGAAGCCCTTAAAGACACTTAAAAGATCTTAAAGGCACTTAAACCTTGGCAGTGCCAAATGCTGCAGAATTTACTGTGTGGCTCTGATCTTGTGGTGTCACAAAGTGCCAGGTATTTTTAGTTAAATAAAACTTGTGTGGCTCTGCAGCTGCACACATTGCAGAAGGGTTGCTGAGCTAAGGTTCCCAGGTGTTCTTTGATTAAAATTGCCCTTTTTTTTTTGCCTCAGAACAACAAAACCACACAGTTCAGGCATGTCCAGCAGCTCACCTACAGCCTGATAGAGTGGAGATCCCAAATCCTCTCCGGGACCCTGCCCAAGGATGAACTGGCTGAGCTCAAGAAAAAAGTCACTGCCAAGATTGACTATGGCAACAGGTGAGCTCCAGACTCCACCTGCAGGGCAGAGGAGGCTCCCAAACCCCAGGGAAGGCTCTTCATGCCAAGCCAGGCACTGAATGAGGCTGAAATGAGGTGAAATGGCAGCTTTGAGTCCCTGAGACATCGTGGCCACCTGGCAGGTGGAGATGGAGCATTTGGTTCTTGGTGTGCCACAGGTCTCTGTGCCTTGGCAGGAATTCTCTCTTAATTCTGCTGAAATCCTGGCACAGGGGGGCCTTGCCCTTGGAGCACAGTGTGTGCCTGGGTTTGGATGTGGTGGGGAAATGCTCTGCTTTCTCAGCAGCTGAGGGCAGGATTCCTCAGACAGCCCAGCCCTCAGTGGTTTGCAGTCCCCAGGACTCATATATCACAGTCAGCTGTCACCCAGGCCCAGGGAGCAAATTAAGAAGTTGTTTATGGCAAAGAGTAACAACCAGCTGCTATCTGGGAGCTCTGTATGTACTCATCCACCTTTGAAACAAAGCCATTTAAGCAGGAATAAGGGAGATGTCACCTTAGGATTGACTTGCCTGACAAATTCCTTCTCTCTTCAATGGGAAAATGGGAGGGAGGAGTTTTTTGAAACAAGAAAACCAGCAGTGAGTGAGGATTCCAAGGAGTGGGATGTTGAGCACTGGCAGCCCGGGCAGGGATTTGATCTTTGCTGCTGCCACATTCTGGCTCTTTTGTGTCTCCTGGGGCTGTCCAGGATCCTGGGTCTGGACCTGGTTGTCCGAGATGACAATGGGAACATCCTGGACCCAGATGAGACCAGCACAATCTCCCTCTTCAAGGCCCATGAAACTGCATCCAAGAGGATTGATGAGAGGATCCAGGAGGAGAAGGTACCTCTGCTGTCCCTGCTTTGCCCTCTGTGCCCCCTGAGTTCTTATATTCCTCTTAATGTTGTGCTCCTCTGGCAGCAGAACTAAATTCTCCTGTGTTTGTTTGTAGTGGAAATATAAAATGTAATGGAAATGTGGAATTCTTTGCAGTCCCTGCAGCAGAGTTTGGACCTCCGGGGACAGCCAATATTCAACTCCACACACACTTACAGCCTCTATGTGAACTTCAAGAACTTTGTCTGCAACATTGGGGAAGATGCAGAGCTGCTGATGAGCCTCTATGACCCTGACCTCTCCAAATTCATCAGGTAGGGCTTTTTTTGGAAATTCTTAAGCAATGTAGTCATCAGGGTGATCATTCATAGAAGTCAGTGAGTTAGAAAGGGAGATCCAGCAGATGTTTTCCAGTTCTGTTGGTTGCTGCCCCAGTGGGGGAAAATTAATTCCAATTACTTTGGAATGAGTTTCAGAGAGATAGGAAGTCCAGACACTGTCCCTCCTAAAGCTGGGTATTTCTCTGATCCCACATTGTTTTTTTATATTCTTAATTTTCTCTGCTGTGGCTGCAAGCCTTGGTTAAGTATTTTATTAATTGTTTCCCAGTAAATCATGGATTTAAATGATGTTTGCTGTCCAGTCAGTGCCAGTTCACATCTGAAGAGTTGGGAGGATGTGAGGAGCTTTATCAGGGAGGCAGTTCTGTGTCAGGAACACTCTGTGTCCATCACTGCAGTTATCAGGTGTGGCCACGCAGTGGGAATTGTCCAGGGAAGCAGCTGCCAGGGCTCACCCCATCCTGCCTCCATCAGTGAGTCACTTCACAGGCATTTTGGGATAAAAGATTGGTCAAATAGTCCTTAAAGATTAAAATGCTGTTGGGAAATGAGGATGTCAGGTGTTGATTTGTTCAAATTTACTTTTTCTCCCTTTCTTTGCAGTGAAAATTATCTGGTTCGTTGGGGCAGCAATGGGATGCCTAAAGAAATTGAGAAACTGAACAACCTCCAAGCAGTGTTTACTGTAAGTTCAGAGAATCCCAGAACAGGTTGGGCTGGGAGGGACCTGAATCCCATCCAGTGCCACCCCAGCCATGGGCAGGGACAGCTCCCACTGTCCCAGGCTGCTCCCACCTGGCCTTGGGCACTGCCAGGGATCCAGGGGCAGCCCCAGCTCCCTGGGAATTCCATCCCAGCCCCTCCCCACCCTCACAGGGAAGGACTTCTCCCCATTATCCCATCTCTCCCTGCCCTCTGGCAGTGACAAGCCATTCCCTGTGTCCTGGCACTGTCAGTGTGTCCATCCTGTCCATCCCCATCATGGTCTCCCTCCAGATCCAGAAGGCCACAATTTTTACCTGTGTAGAACCCAACAAAACCCCTCCTGTGGTATTCACATTCCCTGAACAGAGAGACACAATTCTCTCTGCCAGGATTTTTCCTGGGGAAGGCAGTGAGAAGCTCAGAGAAGAAGAGAAAACAATTCTTACCTCTGCTTGCTGCTCCTGTTTGGCACATGTGGAATGTGTTATGGAGATTGTTTACCCAAAGGGATTTTGTTACTAGACACTGGTGAAGGTTGTTTTGTTTCCTTGGCCAGTTGGGTCAGAGCTGTGTCCTGGCTGTCTCAGACAGTCATGGGTTTTTCTTTAGTATCTCTTTAGGATGTAGTATAGTATAGTATAGTATAGTATTGTATTGTATTGTATTGTATAGTATTGTATAGTATTGCATAGTATAGTATTGTATAGTATTGTATTGTGTAGTATTGTAGCATAGTATCTATACTATATATATCTATATAGTATAGATATAGTATATAGTATATCTATCTATATATAGTGCATATATATACATAGATATAGTATATATATGATATATATAGATATATATATAGATATATATAGATATATATATAATAGTATATATATTGTAATTAGGATTATTTCTATTTAGTATAGTATTACTATTTATTATAGTATTATAAGTATAGCTTAATAAAGCAATTGTTCAGCCTTCTGAAATCATGGAGCCACAGCACATTATGCCCTGGCTGGGGGATTGCCTGTTTCCCCTCCCTTCTTCCCTCCCTCCCCCTCCCCTCCTTTCTCCTTTCCCCTCAGAAAGGACATTGATGGAGGTTGATGTGAGCTCTCTTTTCAGGACTTGAGCAGCTCAGACCTGATCAGGCCCAGGATCAGCCTGGTGTGCCAGATCGTGCGCGTGGGGCACATGGAGCTGAAGGATGGCAAGAAGCACACCTGCGGGCTGCGCAGGCCCTTCGGCGTGGCAGGTGGGCACTGCCCCCCTGGGGGCACCTGCAGGGCCCAGTGAACCCCTGGGGGCACTGGGACACAGGGCTGGCAACGGGGAGCTGTGTGCTGGAAGTGCCAGCACAGCCTGGGAGCTGCCAGCGCCAGCATTGCTGCTCCAGGGCGGATAAATTGTCCCTCTGAGATCTTCATGAAGGTGGTAGCTGGAGATCAAACACTGGCACTGCTCACTTTTGTCACCTCCCACAAAGATAACAGGGAATAAATGGGTGGTGAAAGTCTAGGGAGCAAGGCTTAGTGCAGTTTAATCCCTTCCCCAAGCCCAATGGTCTTTGCCATGGTTCTCACTTTGTCCCTTTGTCCCATCACACATGGAGCTGAAATCCAGATAAAACCAGACAAAACTTGCATGAGAGCAGCTCCTCCAGCTCCTCGCTTGCTGGTCATACATTTAAGGTCAATATTTTTTAACACCTTTAAAAAAAAGTGTTTTATGGGGGGTGAAATATTTGTAAGTGGACGTCGCTGCGTGTCCCAAATGGCTTTGGGGTTAAATCACATTATTCCAGATTTTTCTGGTCTTCTTTGGCTACAGCAGACTTACCAGGGCCTTATCAGAGTGGGATTTGCTCCTCAGGACTCATGGGATAAAGCTGGAGGTTTTAAAGGGGCCTTGGTGAACCAGACTGCCAATTCTTACTTTATTCCTGGGATTTCTTGTGAAGGGGCTTGCTTGAAATCCTTGGTGGAAATCAATATCCAAAGGAGCAGCATTTGAATACCAGTGGAATTTCTCTGCCTTGAAATGCCCCAGTGCCACCTGGTTTTCTCAAAGGGTATTTTATAAGAGTATTTTATCAGGGTGTATTCAACAAGTTCACACTCACTGCTATGAGCTGACAGTGCACATCAATGTAAATGTTCATTTAAATTTAAAAACACATTTAAATGTGATTTTAAAAAGGTTAAAATGGGAGTGATGCTCTCCATTGCTGTCACAGAATCCCAGATTTTTTGAGGGTTGGAAATAACCTTAAATCCCATCCAGTTCCACCCCTGCCGTGGCCAGGACTCCCTCCACTATCCCAGGTCACTCAGAGCCCTTGCTTTGAGTGCCACTGGCCCAGGATAACCCCTTGTTGTTTCCATTCTGAGAGGGCAAAGCTCTCTCTGGGCTCTGGGCAGCTCTGAGTGCTGCTCTGGTGTCGTTGCAGTGATGGACATCACTGACATCATCCACGGCAAGGTGGACGACGAGGAGAAGCAGCATTTTATCCCCTTCCAGCAGTGAGTACTGGGCTGCAGGGCTCACCCACCCCTGGGCGGAGCAGGCATCCTCTGGGCAGGGGTAGATGGAGCCTGGCAGAGCCCCAGGGGCTCTACAAACACATCAGCTGATAGCAGGCAGCTCTTTGCAGGGAGAGGTTCCTGTCACCCTCAGGAGCCTTTGTTCCCCGTGGTTTTCATGGCTCTGTCAGGGACTCAGTTTCTTGGGGATTTCAGCCCTGCAGCTGGAATTTCTGGGTACCTGTGGGGTGAGGAAGAGGAGCACAGAGTGAATTAATGTTGTGGGGCTGGGGAGGTGTGGCTTACAAAATGTTGTGGGGTTGAAAGGCAGGATTTTCAGAGAGGCTGAGCTTTTTGTCACTGCTGTGTGGGACCCTCTGGGCCACTCCCTGCCCACATTTCTTAGTCAGTCATAGGGAAGGGGGTTCTCCCTCTTCTGGGGAAGAAATTCCAGCCCCAATGAGTTCTGCATTTCTGGGAGTTAGACTTGTGTGTTTGTTCTGCCTGCTCTGATTGCTCCCTTTCTTTGGCACATTGGAGTAACAAAAATGGAGCTTGTTTGGGTAGACCCAGCCTTGTTGTTACAGCCCTAAATAGAGCAAAGCATTGGCTGCAGCCATTTGTTATTACAGGGTATTTTCAGGGGAGATTTGGGTTTGTTTCCCTGCCCTTTCAGGGCCTGGAAGGATGGCTTTCCCTTTGCAGAAAAACGTTAGTCTGCTACTTGATTTTTGGGTTTTTTTGTGAGTTTGATTGCTTATTTTTTATTTGTTTAGGAGTTTTGTTTTGATTTGGGTTTCTTGTTTGCTTTTTGTTAATTGTTTTGTTTCAGGGTTTGTTTTGTTTTGTGTATTTTTACTTGTTTGTTTGATTAGTTTTTTGTTTTGTTGGTTTGGGATTTTTTCCCATTTTTCTTCTGCTCCAGTGAGGCTGAGTTCAGACTCCCAGCTGGACACCAGGGTGGGCAGCTTGTGGGGACCTAATTTCTCCCTCATTATTGGTGGTGTGGGTACAGGAGTGAAGTCAGGCTCAAGATCCAAACCTCACTAGTCTTGTTTGTGACTAGGAATGGGTTCAACCCATAGGTGTTGTCACAGCAGTCATTAATTTATATTAATTTATATTTGTTTGCCAGTAGTTAATCTGCATAGAGACAGCTCTGAGCCTGAAGTCAGGGCTTAATTCCTGAGATCATTGTTACTTACCTTAGGCCTGAGGGATAGACTGTGATGCATCTCCTAATGTGAAAGTTTAAATGGATTTTATGCAGGTGAAGGAATGAAAATCCCCATGGAATCCTTAAAAAGCCCCACATTTATTTGTAAACCAGCCAGCTGCTGGCCAGCCCTCTTGTATATGTGGTTGGTGTCAATCTGTCCCAAATCCTGACCCCGTTTTTGTGTCCCCTGCCCAGGATTGCCATGGAAACCTACATCAGGCAGCGGCAGCTGATCATGTCCCCCCTGATCGCCTCGCACGTCATCGGCGAGAACGAGCCCCTCACCTCCGTCTTCAACAAAGTCATCGCTGCCAAGGAGGTCAACCACAAGGGCCAAGGTGCAGCCTGGGGAAAGCCAGCCTGGGGGAGGTTCCAGGGAATAAATGGGTGGTGAAAGTCTAGGGAGCAAGGTTTGGTGGAGTTTAATCCCTTCCCCAAGCCCAGTGGTCTTTGCCATGGTTCTCACTTTGTCCCTTTGTCCCGTCACACATGGAGCTGAAATTCAGATAAAACCAGACAAAGCTTGCATGAGAGCAGCTCCTCCAGCTCCTCGCTTGCTAGTCATACGTTTAAGGTCAATATTTTTTAACACCTTTAAAAAAAAAGTGTTTTATGGGGGGTGAAATATTTGTAAGTGGACGTGGCTGCGTGTCCCAAATGGCTTTGGGTTTAAATCACATTATTCCAGATTTTTCTGGTCTTCTTTGGCTCAAAGATACTCAAGATTCATCTCTGAAAGTTTGGGACTTGCTTCAGAGAATCTTCTTGCCCAGAAAAATCTTACTCAGATTCAGGGACAGGAAGGACTGGGCAAGAGAGAACCAGACATGGAATTGTCATGAAATCACAGATTTTTTTGGAAGCACAGGCTTAAATTTCACGGGTTTGTACCTGTTTATTTTCAGTAAACAAGTGTCATCTCCCCTTTCTTAGGTCTCTGGGTCTCCCTGAAGTTGCTCCCTGGGGATCTGGCTCAGGTTCAGAAGGATTTTTCCCACCTTGTAGACAGATCCACTGCAGTGGCTCGAAAAATGGGGTTCCCTGAGATCATCCTTCCTGGTAGGTCCTGTGTGCTTCTGCATTCCATGGAGTGAAAGAACCTGAAATTCTAGAATTTCTGTCACAAAAAGATTCTTAAAAAAAAATTATCTGAAAACTTTATATTTTTCTTCAAATTTCGTGGTTATTTTCTTATTTTTTGTCACAAGAAGTTGAAAACATGAGTTGCCTTTCTTACGGCAAAATGGTGATTTATGGAGCTTTTGGAAGAAAATGTCTCTTTAGTCAAAATAATTTTGGTTGCATATGGCTTTGACCCACCCATTCAGAGTGGGTTTAACCCTAGAGAGCTCATTAAATTAAAAAGCAAAACAAAACATAAGTACAGAGGTTTGTAGAAAGTTCATTTTAGAAGATTTTGTGTAATTTGAGACAGAGATGAAAATGGTGTGATGGGAGGTGTTGTTAATTAAAGGCTAAGAGGAAATTAGGTTAACATGGTACCCAAGGGTGTTGAATTTCAAGCTGTCCCAGTGGGAATGAGAATCGAGCTCATGAAACTCTGGGAATTGCAGGTGATGTCAGGAATGACATCTACGTCACCCTGATCCAGGGGGAGTTTGACAAAGGCAAGAAGAAAACCCCCAAGAACGTCGAGGTCACCATGTCTGTGCATGATGAGGATGGGAACCTGCAGGAGGTAGGATGGCCTCTGACACCCTCTGAAGATTTGCACCCAAAATCCTCCATATTTACCTTTTTTCCCTCTCCCTGTGTTTTGTCCAAAGAAAGCCATCCACCCTGGGGCTGGCTACGAGGGAGTCTCGGAGTACAAGTCTGTGGTTTATTACCAGGTCAAGCAGCCCTGCTGGTACGAGACTGTCAAGGTATGGTCTGTCATGTGTGTCACCTGAGTCAGGAGCAGCAGTGAGGCACACACAGACTCTCTCCAGCTGGTTCATCTGAGTTTATTAAAAACCCATTCCTTTATACACCCTTCTGATATAACCTGATTGGTCATTTAATCAACACCCCAACACCATTGGTTAATTAAGGAAACACCCTTAGGTAAACATCTTACGAGAAAACAACTGTTCAAAACACCAGCTGCAAGATTGGTCTAATTCTTTCTCTGAGCTTCTCACAGCTTTTCCCAGAACAATTCCTGGGAAGGTTTATCTGTTTCTCTCTCTCTGACTAAACTGTCACATCCACAGGTCCCCCTGTTTGTTGAAAGGAGGAGGCAGGGTCTGTAATCCCCTGCAGGGCCCCTTGCAGGAAGGAGAGCAAACACAGCTCAAGAGTCTCTTCAGCAATTTGCCAGTTGTTAATCAGAACCTCAATCAGATGCTGATTTAGAATCAGAGAGATTTCCAACATACACCATCAAATTCTTTCCAATCAAGCCTTGCTGTGTGTGTTTTCCTTATAAAAAGCCTTTGCTGATTCCAAGGCAGTGGCACACCTCATTGGTCTGCTCAGGGGTCAGGCAGTGTAACCTGTCACAGCCCTTCTTCAGAAACATCAACATCTGTGTTCTCATCTGTGTGCACAGCAGGGCTGATGTGGAGCAGCAGCTGCATCAGCCCTGGCATGTGCTGCAGAGTGGCTGGGGACAGTCTGGGACAGGCAGGGACAATGCTGCTGTTGTGCTGTTCTCCGTGCAGGTGGCCATTGCCATAGAGGAAGTCAGTCGCTGCCACCTGAGGTTCACGTTCCGTCACCGCTCGTCCCAGGAGTGTGAGTGCCAGGAGGGGACCCCTGCAGGACTGCTCTGCTCCTCCCACTCTGATTTCTGCTTATTCAGTGTTACAGACATTATTCTTGCTCTGTTTACTTATTCCCAGTTTGTGGCAAGCAAAAAAACAAAAATATTCAAAATTTTTGCACCCAGAATTTGGTGCTGGTTTTGTCCTGAAACTGAGATTTTGTAAGGAGCAGCAGTTTATCCTCCTGAAAGATAATTGTCTAATTGTCAGTGTTTGTTATTGCTTTGGCTTCTGAGTGTAGGGTGTTGCTTTTAATTTATTTGCCAAAATTCACTGCAAGGCCTGGTGGACTTCTAATTATCTTCCTATAGGAGGATTTCCAATTAGGATAAGGCTAATGAGAGCTTCAGAGCCAGAAGTTCCATCAGATCACTTCAGAGCCCTGAAATGAGATCAATAATGGGAGGCTCAGCCATTGAAGGCCCTCAAAGGCACCTGGTTCTGGGGGCAGTGACATCCTTCCATGTCCACAGCTCATAGACCAAAATCCCAACCAAAAATACCTACAGAATTCTATATCAGAGGATCATTGAATTGTTAAGGTTAGAAAAGACCTGGAAGATCAAGGAGTCCAACCATTAATCTGTCCAGAAAAACCCCTAAAGTTGTGTGTGGGAGGTGCTCCAGGAGGATGTGTTTGTGTAGCTGCAGTTAACTATTAAATAAAGCTGCTGCTGAGGTTAGAGGGCTGCATTTTGGATTGTGTGGACATGAATAAGACAATGGCTAATGAAGATTTCTCCTGTTTTGCAGCCAGGGACAGATCTGAGAGGGCTTTTGGCATGGGCTTTGTGAAGCTGATGAATGCAGATGGAACAACACTGCAGGATGGCAAACACAATTTGATTATTTACAAGGTAACCTGGGCATTTCCAGCCTTGTCTCGTGTTTGACTCATCAAAACTCTCTCCTGGCTGATTTTCCAAGCAGTAGAAAGCTACAAAATGTGTGTGTGGGGTGGGAAATCCTCCTAAACTTTGTGGCTTTGGAAATAGCTCAGTTCATTGCAGCATGGGCAGTTTACCCCTGAAATTAGGAACTCAGACAATGATAGAAATGAAAAAGTGTTTCAAACCCTTTCTGGCTGTCACTGTGGGCCATGACCCTTCTCCCTGCTGTGTCCAACCAACAGGGTGACAACAAGAAAATGGAAGATGCCAAGAGTTATTTGACTCTTCCTTGCACCAAAACAGAGATGGAGGAGAAGGAGGCTCCCTCAGGGAAAAACCTGCACTCTCTGGCCAACTTCACCCCCACGAAGGACAGCACAAAGGACAGCTTCCAGATTGCCACTGTCATCTGCTCCACCAAACTCACCCAGAATGGTAGGGCTTGTGCTGGGGCTCTGAATTGCAGAGGGCATTTTCTCCAGGCAGCTTTCTGTGTGTGGCCAGAGAGCTTCAGCTTTCATTTTGCTGCTCCTGTGTCAGTGGCAGCCCCATCCCATCAAGCTCCCAGAATGTGTGTGCAGCCCCCAGAAACCCTTTCACACAAATGCTCAATCCAGACTGCCAGTGCTCAACCCAGCAAGGTTGTTGGCACATGTGGAAATGTCAGTGACCGTGTGTTTTATCAGAATTTGAAGTGTTTGAGGCTAATTGCCTTCTTTCCTCTGCCTGTTCAGAGAGCAGCAGCTGGGGCTGAGCTCTCCAGGGTGATGATGTGCATTAGCTCTGCCCCGTGCCAAAGGGGTCAGAATGAAGAGCAGTGTGTGCCTGAGCCAGCCTGGGCTGGTCAGTGATGGGAGACTTCCAGCAGCTCTGGAAGGGCTGTGCTGAGTCCTGCACTTCAATAAAATTCCGGGCTTGAGATACCTGCTCTTAAAAAAACCTGCAAAATGCTCTCCAAGTGTGTTATCAGATGGCAGCCAGGTTTCCATTTATAGCAGAGCTTTGCTGTTTTGCCAAGACAGAAGCACCTCAAGGTAACATTCTGTACCTCAGGGTGATTGTTCTTTGTGCACTGACTAAAAATAGCCCCCAGCCTGGCTGTGGGCTCTGTGCAGCCCTTCAGGCAGCTGCCATTGCTGATTGCTCTTTGTGTCCTTGCAGTTGACCTGCTGGGTTTGCTGAACTGGCGCTCCAACGCCCACAACATCGCCCACAACCTCAGGAAGCTCATGGAGGTGGAAGGAGGAGAAATTGTGAAGGTATTCCCAGGGATCTGAGCCTCCTTGGTGCTCACAGTCCCATGTGTCAGCCTGGTGTTGGACCCAAAAGGTGTCTGGCTAGGCTGGGAGGGCAGGTCTGAGTGCTGAGGAATGGGAGAATCATCAGATCATGGGATGGTTTGGCTTGGAAGGCACCTTAAAAGCAGCTTTTTCCACCCCCTGCCATGGACAGGGGCACCTTCCACTGTCCCAGCTTGCTCCAACCTGGCCTTGGACACTTGGACACCAGGGATGGGGTAGCCACAGCTTCTCTGGGAGCCTGTGCTCCACCTCTCATTAGTGGAATTTACCAGAATTACAGAAGTTGAATATTACAGGGATCAGGGAGAGAGCAGTGACTCTATTTTCCCCTTTTTCCTTATGAAATAACAGATGCATCCAAAGCCTAGCTTTTCATTCTCAACTCCTTTGTGAATGAGGAGAGGCTTGCTGTGAATCTGGGAGCAGAGACAGCCCAGAGATCTCACAGCATGCTGTGGGGAGTGGACCTGAAATGGGAGAATTCTCACAGAAAACATGAAGGATTTAGGATGAAGCCTTACCTGCAGAGAGGGGTCCCAAGAGTGAATGTGCTGGGATTTTGCAAGGTGATGTTTTATGGAGGAGCTGACCATGACAGGAATGTGTCACTGCAGACAGGCTGAGTGCAGGGTCCTGCCTGGGACAGGGCCAGGCTGCTTTGGAGAGCTCAGGATTTTCATCCTGTGGGATGAAAAGGCACTAGAACAGCAAAGTGGGGCCATTTAGGGCTGAGAAGAAAGATCTTCCTTACTGTAAAGATGATCATGACAATCATGTGCATGAACACAGGGCTGGGATCCCTTTTGAGAGGTTTTGTCATGGACACAGGGCTGGGATCCCTTCTGAGATGTTTTCTCAGGGACAGGATTTACAGTTCAGCCAGGCTGGAAGGGGAGGAATGATCCAGCTCATGCTGCTGTGCAGGATGCCAGAAGCAGTTGCCTTTCCTCACCTTTTACTGTTCCTTTCCCCCTCTAGTTTTTGCCAGACACCCTCGATGCACTTTTCAACATCATGATGGAAATGTCAGAAAATGAAACCTATGATTTCCTGGTGTTTGATGCCCTGGTGAGTGAATCTTCTATGGCTGCAGAGTTCGTTTTCAGCCACATTTCCAGTCTGTTCCTGGTGATTCCAATGAGCAATTGGTATTTTGCTCTAGTAATAAAAGATATTTAAACACTTCTTAAGGCTTTTTCAGGAGCCAGGAATGAAATGCACATCAGATTTTTAGTAGCCACAGTAAAAAGAGTAATAAATTCCACACACACTGTGACTGTTACAACATGAATAACACTCTCTGTAGCATTAATGCTGTTGAAAAAACAAAATTATAATCCAGCAAAATCAATTAGAGACTGTTCTGCTGGAGTTAGTGTGCAGCTCTGTGCATCTGTTTCCTTCTGGACTTTTGGCAGGTGTTTATTATTTCTTTGATTGGAGACATCAAGTTCCAGCATTTCAACGCTGTGCTCGAGACTTACATCTACAAACACTTCAGTGCAACCCTGGCCTATGTGTGAGTATTGGCCCAGGCCTCGGGTGTCACCCAGCAGTGGCACTGAGGGCTTTGGGGGTGACATCAGCTCTTGGGGATGGATTTCATTAGGTCATTTTTGATGATGTTAATGGGGTAAAGGCAGCAGAGAGCAGAGTTCCATCCCTTCTCTGTACTCAGGAGAGAAAGAATCCTTTTTATTGCTCTTTTTGCCCTCTAAAAAATTCAGTTGTGAGATTTTTTTTTCTGTGAAATCAGACAGAAAAGACTCTTCTGTCATGGATCTTGGCTTTCCTTGATCAAGCATCCCTCAGCCAAAGGTCACCACCCTTGTGGTAACAGAAGTGAAAAGTTCAAACTGAGGCCAATAGGGAGGGCAAAACCAGAAACCAAACTGCTTTTCCTCTCTGAAAATCTCCTTTTAATTTTTACTGATCCACATGAACTGGCTGTCACCCTAAAATAAACACAACTTGAAGTGCCCCTCTCCTCGAGTGCCTCCTTCCCTGCGCTGCCACACAACCACTGCTTCCACGTGGTTTCCTTTGCTCCTCTCTGAGAGTTCTCACTCAGGGACAGAGCCTCAGTCCCCTCCCCTGGACTGGGGTTTGCATCTTCCTGCTCCTTTTAGGGCAGAGGAAAAGCAGAGCCAGAGGGTGCAGTCTGTGGGCTTTGAGCCCAAGGTGTGAGGAGGGGATGGGCTGTGAGCAGGAGCCCTGGGCTTTGAGCCCAAGGTGTGAGGAGGAGATGGGCTGTGAGCAGGAGCCCTGGGCTGTTCCTGTGCCTGCAGTTCCTCTCTGGGGTGAGGGAGCTGGGCCTGCACAGGAACTGAGCCGTGCCTGCATTGGTTCCCCTTTTTGTCTTGTTTCCAAAGGAAACTCACCAAAGTGCTGAACTGCTACGTGGGGAATGCTGAGGACTCCAGCAAGACAGAGCTGCTCTTTGCAGCCCTGAAAGCCCTGAAATACCTGTTCAGGTTCATCGTGCAGTCCCGGGTGCTGTACCTGAGGTGGGTCCAGCCTTCCCTCCCTGGGCCTCTTCTGGGAAACCCACTGGAGTTCCTTCCAGTAAATACCACTAAGACAGATATTCTTCACCAAATCCTCTATCACTGACTCACTAAGAGGATCTTTCTGCCCTTTGTCTGTGGCTGGAACAAATGAGTTGAGCAAAAATTGAAATACCTGATTAGAAGGGAGAAAAACCTTTTTGTCCCCCCTAACATGCAATAAGCAGCACATAGTAGAGCTGAAAAGGAACACAGTAGTTGTTTTTATAAAATAAAACATGGAATTTCCTCCTCATTTTCAGAAACTTTAAAAAAACAATACACAGATACTTCAGTCATTGGGTGAGGTGGGGGATGACACATTCTCCAGTTGGGGTAAAATCAGAGTGGTTTAACTGTAGCTTCAAAAACACCTTTCCAGAGAGTCACAATGAGGGTTTGAAACCCTTTATTCATGTCCATTTTGGATTTTTTTTCCTGTTCAATACTTGGAACCCAATTTGCTGCAGTGGCAGCCTGAAGAGTGCAGGTTTTCCCCTCTGACAGATTCCAGCAGGAAATGGCTGCAAAATCTCCAATTCCATTTTTACCCCCATGGCTTTGTCAGAGGAGATGGCATGAAGATGTTGTTGTTGCACAGGATGAAATCCTGATTGAGCTGCTGGATTTGTGTGTGTAACTGGCCCTGTTCTTTGCAGTGTGTATGGGAAGAGTGAGGATGGGAATGAATTCAACGATGCAATTCGCCAGCTCTTCCTCTCCTTCAACATCCTCATGGACCGGCCCCTGGAGGAGGCTGTCAAGATCAAGGTGAGCAGAATTTCCAGGGAAAAGTGAAAAACTTCAATTAGATCAACTGGTGCAGTTGGGAAGGGGCTGGGCCAGAAAAAGGAAGGAGAGAATTATCCATGAATCCCTTCTCTTCCATCTTTCCCACTCTGCACTGCAGATCTGGGGTGGCTGGAGGCTCTTTGGATGCATAAATTTGGGTTTTATTATTTTAAACCAGTTCTCTGCAGTTGTCCTCACTGGATTTCCCACGTGCATTTCACGTCCTTGGTTTCTTTCTTCTTTCAGGGGGCAGCTTTAAAATATTTGCCAAGCATCATAAATGATGTGAAACTGGTATTTGACCCCGTTGAGCTCAGGTAACTGTATGAAGTTTGTTTGTCCTCTAAACCCAGTTTATCTGGGAGGAAGAATTTTGGAAACTTCATTAAAAACAGCCCCTCTGGTTATGATCTGATGGTGCAGATCCTGTGCGTGGACTCAAGGAAGTGCTTGCTGAGCTTTAGAGGAAGTCAGGGGAGTTCAGAAGATTCTCTGCATCCCAGTTTTTCATTCTGGGAGTGTCCAAGCCCAGGTTGGATGGGCTTGGAGCAACATGGGATAGTGGGAAGTGTCCCTGCCCATGGCAGGGATGGAGCTGGCTGATTTTAGGGTCCCTTACTACCCAAATCCTTCCAGGATTCTGGGATCCTTACAGGCACCTTGAGATTTTACTGAAAAGCAAAATCTGAGGGCAGTGAGGTGTTGAAACCTCGTGCAAGTTTCCACCAGCCAGTTCTTGGTGAATGCTCCTGAAAAGTATGGCAAAGGCTGAGCCTTGCTGGGAACCCAAAAGTTGTGTTTATCCAGGAAATTCTCAGCCCTGTGGGTTGCTGGTTGTGGTGCTCAGAGCTTTGCCCAGAGCTGCCCAGCCCTGTCTCCTGTCCTGCCACAAGTGATTTGCTGGGAAGCAGCAGACAGGCAGCAAATGGCCGTGGAATTTCATTAAAGGGAATCTGGGGCTGGAGTGAGTCACTGCTGCTGATGGAAGGGGCATCTGGGAGGAGGCTGTGCCTTTGTGCTGGGCACGTTCCAGCTTTCTCCAGGCTGCTGAGTCTGTTCAGATGAGGCCTTCAAACTGCCCCTGGGTGTGACAGCCAGGGGGAATAACCTGTGAGGGCACAGAGCAGTGGGATTAACCTGTGAGGGCTCAGGTTTGTAGGGTTTGGGATGCACCTGGTGTGTCCTGGAATAAAAGTTTCATTTAAAGAGGTTCAAGCCTGCAGTTTCTGAACACTGCTCAGTTTTACTTTCACAGAATTCACAGAATTCTGTGACTAGATTGGAAGAGACCTTAAAGATCATTGAGGTCAACCCACACCTTAACACCTCACCAGGGCTTTAAGTCCCTTGAGAATCACCCAGGGCTCTGTGGCAATGTGCCTGTTGGATGGAATTCCCAGAGGAGCTGTGGCTTTCCCATCCCTCCCAGGCTGGGGCATCCTGGGGCAGTGGGAGGTGTCCCTGCCATGGCAGGGGCTGCAGCTGGGGAGCTTTAAGTCCCTCCCAACCCATCCCATTGTGGGGTGCTGTGGTTCCAGCTGTGGCCCAGTGTCTGTGAGGGATGGGTGGGCTGGTGCTGATGCTGCAAACACACTGCTACACTGACCCTCTGCTCCCTCTGCCTTGCCCACAGTGTCCTCTTCAGCAAGTTCATCCAGAGCATCCCTGACAACCAGCTGGTCCGGCAGAAGCTGAACTGCCTGACCAAGATCGTGGAGAGTGACCTGTTCAAGCAGGCTGGTGAGTGGCACTTGGGAGGCTCTGGGCCTCAAAAGCCTTCAAAAGGAGTTCCCTGTCAGTCATCAGGGGCCACCCACCACTAAATCCAGCTCTAGAAACATTCCTTGCCATGGAAACTGAGATTTGTGCTGTCCAGCCTTTATACAATGCCCAGTGTGTGGGATCCTGATGCAGGGTGGTGATTCAGAAGGAGGGAGAAGCGGTGGGGGCTGTTTGATGGAATATACAGAATTTATAAATGAAAGGGTGGGGTTAGATGGGATAGTGGGAAGGAATTCCTTCCTGTGAGGGCGGGGAGGGGCTGGGATGGAATTCCCAGGGAGCTGGGGCTGCCCCTGGATCCCTGAAGTGCCCAAGGCCAGGCTGGAGCCCCCTGGGACAGTGGGAGTTGTTCCTGCCATGGCAGGGGTGGGATGAGATGATCTTTTTGGTCCCTTCAACCCAACCCATTCTGGGATTCCACTGTTCATATTACAGATCATTCATGACTCTCCAGCCCATTTGTCATAGCTCCAGAGGCTTTAAGCAGGTTCTGGTGTCCCAGATGGAATCAGGAGCAGGACTCTCCTGTGAGGTGCCCATCCCCAGGGCATGCTGAGGCTCTGCTCTGTCCCTGTGTCCCTTTGCAGAGTGCAGAGATGCCCTCCTGCCCCTGCTCATCGATCAGCTGAGTGGGCAGCTGGATGACAACTGCAGCAAGCCCGACCACGAGGCCAGCTCCCAGCTCCTGAGCAGTGTCCTGGAGGTCCTGGACCGCAAAGATGTGGTGAGCACGAGCTCTCAGGGCTGCCAGCTCAGCTCAGTTCTTCTTTTGAGAAGTCACAGTAAAGAAACCTAAAGAATCCTCTACTTGTGCTTTAGTGAGTCAGAATTGTGATATTTATAGAAACTGGGATGGCTTGCTGTGCAGTTCTTTGTAAGGGCTCTGTCTGAAGAGGAGCCAGGAAAGGTTGAATTGTTATCACTACTAGAAGCATTTACTTCCCTTTCTAGGGACCAGAATGTCATCTCAGCTGCTTAGGTGGCTTGTTCAGTAATTTGGAGCAAGTCAAAGAAGTATTACATGGTATAAAAATGAGGAGGTTGCTCATTCTCTGTTATGGAATAGGGGCAGCAATCACTGTTCAGCCAGAAAAATGTACTTCCCACTCTGTTCATGGGAATTGTTCTGAGTGCCTGTGAGCAGAGTGGCTTGAGCTGTTCAGAGAAGAGCTGCCAAAGCCCCAGCAGGAGCTGATGAAGCTGGGGCAGATCCATTAAGGGAATTCTCCACCCAGTGAATCCCAGAGTGTTTGAATCGATCGCTCGTGCACTTAAATCTCCTTTTTCTGCTTCCCCTCATGAAATTCATCCTTGCCAGGGCAGCCCTCCCACACAGGGAGCTGCCCCTGGCAGGCTGTGCCTGAGGAATGGTCCCCAGTGTCCCTTGCTGGCTGTCCCCAGGGTGCCACTGCTCTGCACATCCAGCAGATGATGGAGCGGCTGCTGCGCCGGATCAACCGCACGGTGATCGGGATGAGCCGCCAGAGCCCGCACATCGTGAGAGCCCTTCCACCTTCCCACCTTCCCTGCCT